AATGCATTTAATGAGAAGAAGCTCACTAACTAACCAGGTAACTATTTCAATTATTAGAAAGTTCTTTACACTGAAGTGAAATCTGCATTCTGTAACTATTAAACACTTTTTCTAATTCTAACTTTGGGAACAATTAAGATAAGTGAAATCCCATTTCCTTTTGATTGACATTCAAAAATTTGAAGACAGCAATGAGTTCTTCATTTTCTCCTTCACTTTAAACCCTCAGTAATCCTCTATTTGACTTTTTTTTCTAGACCTTTCACTATCCTGGTTGACCTACTGTAAACCTAGACACACTATAGTTTGCCAATGAACCCTTTAATATATGGCATTCATAACTGGACACAGTTTTGGAATCTCAGTTTGAGGTGCCAGTTGAATGGGTATTTGAAAGTGCAAGGCTGCATTGCAGAAGTAAGGACAGGACTATAAATATGGATTTGGCAGTCATCTACAGAGAGTTGGTGCTCAAAAGCATAGGCATGAAAAAGGGAGAAAGTCTATAGAGAGACGTAAAGAAGGGCAAGGAGAGGACCTTGAGGGAACACTTACATTAAGAGGTCATGAAGGTCATCCAGTGAAGTAGACAGCAATGGAGTAGTGAGAATCATAGGGAAGAACTAAAAGTGTGAGATGTCTCTGAAACCAAAGGAGGAGAGAATATCCAATAGGAAGGAATGTTTCAAAAGCTGAAGAGAGGTCAAGGAGGAAGAGAGAGAAAAAAATGAATTGGAACTTAGGAGGTCAATTGTGATCTTTGAAGGAAGAGCTTTAGTAGACAGGGCAGAAGCATTATTGAAAGGGACTGTGAATACAATGTATATTGAGGATGTGGAAGCATTCTGTATAGCAAGCTTTTTAAAAATAAATTTAGGAAAGAGGAAGGGTGTGATGGGCTTGAGGCTAGCTTAGACAGAAAGGCCTAAGGAAGGCTTTTTTAAGTCTGAAGATGCTTGAGTAGTCAAATGTAAGGAGATCAGATGGAGCCAGGAGAGGAAAAGAAACTCAAGAGAGTTGAGATGACTATTGGAGAAAGCTCATTTCAATAAACGTTTTTTAGGTAAACATTTATTATTCATTAATTTCTTGGAGGAGCTGCAAAGAATGCAATTAAGGGTACAAATAGAATAGCATTAGTGAGAAACAGGGATACTCTTATTCTGTGACCAAAAGAGAGTGTGGGTAATGATGAGAATGGGTAATGTTGAGAAATCTAGAGGAATGGAGAAAGTGAATTGAGGGAGCTCACTCCTGAAGCTCATTTTTTTTTATGAGTCTGAGTGTTGTGTGTGTGTGTGTGTGTGTGTGTGTGTGTGTGTATATAAAGGATTGAGATAATTCCTCTTCAGATATGTTAGGCTGCAGAAGGAGCATGGTATGGTGAGAAAAGCACCCCAATTGGAGTGAGAGGACCCAGGTTCAAACTCCAGCTCTCTGCAACTTGTTTCCTGTGTTACCTTGGATAAGTCCCTTATAGTCTACGGGTCTCAGTTGTCTCATCTGTAAAATGATGAGGTCAAACTAAATCATCTCAAATAGCCAATTCTAAACCAATATTCCTAAAAATCTCTGACAATTCTGAGACTCTATGATTCTGAATGAAAAGTTCCAGAATCCACCTTGGATAAAATAATGTCGATTGATTCCTCATATCTACCATTCACTCACTGTTCTGGTTAATAATTGTTTTCTGAATGTTTCTTATTAACAACTAGAGATAATTAGAAAAATGACGTTTCCCTATTATGCTATTGTATTATTTGGCCAAAATTTTACTACATTGATAGGATTTCTCTCCCCTGGCCCTTAACCATTTACTAGATGTGTAACTTGGCTGTATGCTTCAATGCAATCTTCAGTTGCCTAATCTGTAAAATGGAAATATTATCATTCCCTACAATGTGATCATTGGAGCTCCTTTCCAGATCTATAATGCTTATTTTCTTAAAGAACTATTAGTGATTAAGGGTTATCTATCTATATTAGGGCTTAGCACAGTGTCAGGCATATAGTGGGTGCTTAACAAATGGTTGTTGTCTTACTATCTAAACTCTCAAGTCTATCTATCTCCCTATCTTAAAATATGTACATGTCAAGTACCTACTGTGTCTATATTTTGTATAGTTAGACATATATAATGAACATTCAAAACTTTGTTCAAAACTTTCTATGTCATTTTCTATTATAGGATGGAATTCAGTACAGTTATCCCTTTCACATCACAACTTTCCTCATTATGGTTTCAATATATCATGGCTTGGCATAAAAAATTAAATGGGAATTTTGGGAAAGTTTTGCAGAAGCCACAGATGACATGTGAAGGCCAGCAGACAACACAGGAAAAGTTTAGAAACTCAGAAATGCATAAAATATATGTATAGTGTTGTATAATATCAACATATTTCATCTTTTAATACCATAATAATTCAGATCTCTTCTCTCAAAGGAAGGGCCCAAGAACTTTATGTAAATTTTCCAGATTGTAGGGGTGTCACACCCTTAACCCCTGCGATGTAGAAAGGATAACTGTAAGAAAGATTCAAGAGCATCCAATTACTGAGGTAGCATGGCCCAGTGTCATAAAGTATGTAAGCAGCATTGTTTATAGGTGCTATTGTATTTATTCTTTTTCCTGGTATGTAAAGTACAAAAGTGAAATATTTATTAAGAACTTCCAGGTGTTGTACTAAACACTACAGAACAAATTATAAGCACTATATCAACTTATGGATCAAAGTGTTCTATATTTTCTCTGAAACAGAGGTTTGCAAACAAGAGAACCATGTTAGAACTCAGACAGACAACTGCTTCCATTTGGACTCTACACCTCTAAAGTCTAGTTTCCTTTATTCTGGAAAATTTTCCTGATACCTTATGCACAATCCACCCACATCTATCATTGGTATAGAGGCCAAAAGATCATACTGATATAATAAAGATATGAAATGTTTATATTTTTACATTAAAAAAAATCCAAACCAAATCAGATAGGCTAAATCCAAAGCATTTGCATAAGAGAAAGGAAAGAGATCAATCTATTCTCCAAGCAAATTCCTAAATTCATAAACCCCATCTTGGTAAAATGCTGTTGTTACCAATGTTTCAGCAGTTTACCTCTGGTTAAATGGATGATTTTTCCATCCCTGACTTTCCTAGTGTTTTCTATCAAGCATAACAATGAGCCATTTTAAAGCAAGTTGTAAAAAGGACATCATATTGATACATCATGGAATTAGAATCAAGTCCATAGAAGATAGTCAAAAATATTCTTTACCAGTGTTCTAATTCTTATTGTCAGATATTGCCATTATTTAATCATAACTGAACTCATATTTATAATTTCTTTTTTTCATAGAATTTGTATAAATGTGAATATTTTATGGAGGAAAAAGGTCTTCCTTTGAAAGAGAATTAGAGTATATAAACCAGTAGATGTCAAAATTCACCTATAGTTATATTAATTAAGTAGTTCTCAGAACACTTATATATATATATATATATATGCATACATATACACATTATGTATATTCAAGCTATCATGGTGGTATATACAATTTCCATGCCACTCGTACTTGTCAGTATTCATGGACTCTAGCCTGAATTTGTTCAACTGTTTTTCATTTACTTACCAGGAGGTAACTAAGCCATTCCTAAAGTTTTTTTAAGTAAATATTAAGTCCAAAATTGCTTACCTGATTTAATCAAGCCCACAATTTTTATATAAAATTTTTAAAAACAGAACACATTTGCCAAAATACATCTCAAAGATATTAACTGAGCCCTTCAGAGGAATGCATCTTCAATTTTTTAAAACTTTTTTTCATTAATTTTAATTTTATCTGAATTTGTTCTCCTTCCCCAATAGAACTCAGTTGATTTATATGAATAGGTCCTTTTGGTGGTTCTTACTCTTAGTGAAAATCTTGAAAAATCCCAAGAAGAATCAATTTATGTCAACATTTTGGCTAAAGTAATTTTCTAAAAGTCACTGATTGTGTACATTACATTAATATCAAAGTATAAGAAAAACACGTTTAGTTTCTGTGTAGCAAATTACCATAAGTTATGATACTGAAATATGTTGTGTTAAATACAGAATGTTAAAAATGGAACATTATATTTTAAAATGGTAGGTTTTTATTTTTAAACTTGTATCATGAGAATTATGGTATTTGGAAATATCATTTATGTTAGGAGATGATCAAAATTAATTTATAAGCCTACATCCAGTAGATATCATCAAAGAACACTTTATTCCCATGCTTTTTATAACTGAATAGTTATCAAGAAAACACGTACTGCAACTTAAAAAAAATAAAAGGCAACTTAAGTCATGCAGTATTACCCATTACACTCCTGTCTGCATTTGGAAATCGCTGTTTGAAATTGATTTCAAAGTCCTTATTTCTAATAAATCATATCTAACCCTCTGTAAGAACAGCAGCATTTTTATAAATTAAGAGATAAATAAATACCTACCATGGCAAACATAAGAACAGGCTTAAAAAGACTTTAGGACAGCTAAATGACAGCAACAGAGCTAATTTAAATATATGTGTGTGTATATATGTCTACACGTACATACACATAAGGATATATATTTATATATCAAATATATTTATAACGATATGTTCCAAATGTTATGAGAAATATGTCCAATCTCTCTCTCTCTCTCTCTCTCTCTCTCTCTCTCTCTCTCTCTCTCTTCTCTCTCTCTTCTCTCTCTCTCTTCTCTCTCTCTCCCTCTCCCTCTCCCTCTCTCCCCCTCTTCCTCCCTCTCCCTTTCCCTTTCTCCTTCTTTCCCTCTCTCTCCAAAGTATGCATGGTGTATGAGTTAACTTACTGAATTCATCCTTCATGCAATTCCACTTTATTAAAGAGGTGAAAAATTTATAAAACTCTGATGGGATATGGTTTTAATGCTTCATCACACTACCCATCATTTGCTTTTCAATCTAGATCAGAATGATCTTTCCTACTTCCCTGCAATCACCTACCTCCACATGTATTACTCTACACATATTCCCATGAGCTCTTTGCTGGGTCAGTTCCAGCTTACACTTGCTAAGAAGGGTTTGCAGTCTGAAGTACTCCAGCAATGCAGCATGCATCCTTTCTTGCAGCAGAAGGATCTAAAGGGAAGAAGGAGGAAAAAAAAAAACAAGTCAGAGTACGAGAGGAAATTAATGGCAGTGTTCAAGAAGAATGATGGAGGGAAATATAGAAAGCAGTCAATAGCCCATTCTGCACTGTACGGACCTGACAGGAATTTCACAGTCTCTTGATTTTTCAGCCCACTCATGTGCATTCATCAGAAACCAGTCACATCTGGCTGCCAGGATGGGGGGTTAATTTTCTCTAAATGCCTCAGCAGTTTTGTTCTAGCTGAGGCAAACTCTGTGACCGCAAAGCTGATGAGTAAAATATTTCTCCTTCACCCAGTTTAACTCAAAACCGATAGCCTCGGGACATATTGAACCTTTCTCTAAAAAAAATAATCTTTTGAAGCTCTTTGAATGGCACATCAGGTCAAGCCAAAGTTTAAAATGCAAGTTTAAGACTTTGATGGACACCATTGCTTCTTTTTTCCCCTTGTAAAGCTTATCATAGCTTGGCAATGTGTGCTGCAGAGCATGACAAAACTAAAGAGAATTAACTTAGCCATCAACTGCTGAGGGAGAACAATAACAGGAAAGAAATTTCCAGAGAGAACTCCCTATTAATCTACCTAGCTATAACCATGTGACATGAAAACATCGAACTGCACTAAACTACGGAAGATGCAGCTCTCGACAGTTTTTCTACTAGATTTATACCTAAGAAAAAAAGAAACCTCCAGTACTAGATATTTTGTGCAATAGAGTTCTAATAAAAAATAACAATAAAATCAACTTATGTATACAGGGTCGGTTTTTCCTTGAATAAGTAGCAAGACAATGGCACAAAACATTAAGACAAATTTTTTTTTCAATGTTTTTACCATTTTCAAAAGGTTTGTGGTTGGGACAAAAATTGCCTCAAACATATGCTGGAAAACAAAGCATTTTCATCAGAATGAAATATTCTGGTTGTTGCAAAGATATTAGTATAAAAATACAAAAGCTCAATCCAGTATGGTCTAGTAAAGGAAGAAAATCTTTAGATTAGATGGTTCATCATGAGGTAAGCCTATGCTAGGTTTCCATTTGGTAGATTCTAGTGAAAGGAAAGACAATAGAAAAGATACCAGAGATTTTCCCACATATTTAATGAAATATATCATTAGAAGAGTAATTCTTTTTATAATATTTTTCACAGCAACATCACTAATTTGTCTCTAGCATTGAACTGCTTAATAATACCCTCAACTAGGAAATTATAAGTACTGACATGGAAAGAGCATGGACAGAGCATGAGGACATGTATGTACTCTCCCTTTTATTAGCTGGGTGACTTGGGCCAGCCAGTGCATATGTGCTTCCTTGACCTCCAATTCCTAACTCATAAATGAGGGATTTCAGTTCAACAAAAGCATTCCTTAAGTGTCCAATATGCACAAATAAACACTGTGCTTAGGGTCTAGATATATACAAGAACAAAAATGAAAAACTCTTTGCAGCTGAGATTTTAATGTGGTTTGAATGAAATAATCTTTAAACTCTCTTCTAGCTTTAATAATTCATGGTCAAAACACATTGAAAGTTCTCCCCAACATCTCACTTCCCCAACCATTCCCAACAACAGCAACAATTTTTTTTAATTATGATACAGAATGTTAAGACCTCACAAAATTGATTGTAATGAGACAATTGAACCCAGTTCTTACAGCATGCTTAAATTTACCCTTGTTAGTAGGCTAGGTTATGCAGAGCATGTGCAGATATTGCTTATCTGGTTCCAAGCCAACATTGAGGATTTTGGAAGATTTTTTTCCAGGCATGCATAACTGGGGGCCTGCTTCTAGGTGATGACAAAACAACTTCTAATTGATTGGGGAGGTGGAAGAGCTGGTAACAGGAGGTGCTGATCTAGAATTTGAGTTCAATACAAAAGGGATGACTTTTTGGGAAGATAATTTCTCAATCACTTTTTCCCCTGGAGACAAGTAAAGCAAGAACTGCTGTGACCTATTGAGCTGACAGAATGGTTGGTGTCCTTTTGGGATGGGAATTCTCAAGAAACCATGTGAATCTGGGAGATGCATCATAGTCAGCAGAGGTCACATTGACCTCCAGAATCAACAGCAGAGTCTGCCAGAGCGGTAGTGGTTGAAAACAAAGAAAATGGCTGCACATGTATGTGGAAAGACAAGAACCTGAGGATAACAGTTGTGGCAGACAAGTGCCATGGGTTCAACATTGCCATTGATCCTCAGAGCCCATCAGAGGACTGCAGCTAAAGGGAAACTTCATGAGGGTTCCACAAAAAAAGATGAAAACTCCCCAAACCAGAAGTTTGGAAGAACCTTTTGGCTCATATAGTATATATAATTTGTTCCTTAAGTTGGAGCCTTCTCTACACAGAAACTTTGGTATGGAGGAGGACTGTGCCCTGGTTGCAGGGGTATTGCAATTTCCCCACCTAAAAGAGCACATTATCAAAAACAGATTTGTAGAAATATCAAAGAGCATAAGAGTATTTTTAAAAATCCACATCACTTTTTAAAGGACATACACTATCAGACTAGTTTAATTTACTTCTTTATCAGGATATTAAAGCACTGTAGGTAAAGTAAATAGATGTTGTGGATTCTTAAGTCAAAGGCTGTATTCAGTGCTCCAGAAACCATGTGAATACAGGAGATGAGTCAGAAATATCAGAGGTCACATTGGCTACCAGAGACAACAGCAGTCAGCCAGAGTAGTAGTGGTAGTAGTAATCATTATTTAAGTTCAAATTACCAATTATTATTTAATCATTGAAGGTATTGCCATTCATTAAAAAATGACATTTTAGAGTTGTTCTCAAAGTAATTAATAGCACCTTTGGAAGTGTGACATAGTTCATGGGAGTTGTTAGTCTTGTACCTATTGCAAGGAGTAAATATAAAATGAAAGTCTGGCCAAACCTAAGCACACACACATGTGTATATGTGTGCATGGGTGTGTTTTAGAACAAAATTATATTTATGTTTTATAATATGCCTATATTTCCCATTATAGTGCTATCTCTTCACTCTCAGAGTAATCTCTTACAATAAAGAATTTTGCAAAAGAGGAAGAAAGTCTAGCAAAACTAACATTGAAAAAGATTGATAATATACAGGGTCTCACACTCATGGATCCCTGCATCTGGAAGGTGTGAGGAACTATCTTCTCATCTCTCTTCTTTGGTGCCAACCTTGGTTATAATAATTTCCTAACACTCAATTTCAATTACTTTCTTGTTATTCTTTCTATTTACATTGACGCAGTCAATGTGTATGTTGTTTTAATGGTTCTACTTACTTCACATTGCATCAGTTCACATATTTTCCATGTTAATTCATATTAATTACATTCATTTTGTTCTTCCAGCACAGAAATATTACATTCTTGAGATAAAATTAGTTTAGCTAGTTGCCAGTCAATGGACATCACCAATTTCTTGCTGTTACAAAAATTTTGGTATTTATAAGACCTTTCTTTTCATCACTGAACTCTTTCAGGTTAGTCATGTAATCTCTGGGTCAAAGGTTATGTTTATTTTCTTTGTATAATTACAAATTACATTCCAGAATGGTTAGAGAAATTCACAGTTCCACCAATTATGCATGTGTACCATTTTTCTGCATTCCCTCCAATACTGAATATTTTCATATTTGTTATCTTGGTCAATTTGCTGGATATGAGGTGAAAACCCAGCATTTTTTATTTGCATTTCTCTTACTTTTAGTAATTTGGAGAATTCTTTTATATTGCTTTTAATAGTTTACAAGTCTTCATTTGAGAACCAGTTATTTGTTCGTATCCTTTGACTAGCAATCTATTAAGGAAGGTGGTTTTTTTTTGGTCTTAGATATTTGTTAATGGTCTGTATACCATGGATATTAGAATTTTATCACTGATATTCAGTAGAAATTTTTTTTTCAATTGACCACTTTTTTTTTTATCATGGTTGAATTTTATTCATGAAAAACTTTTAAACTTTATGTAATCAAAATTATATCTTTTATCTTTGCAACCACTTCTGTCCCTTGTGTAATAATTCTCCCTTTACTCATGACTATGAAAGGCACACGATTTGACTATCTTCTAAATTTTATGATGTAATCTTTAACATTTAGGCCATTTTTTGAATGTATTATGGAATTGACAGGAGTTTTTGGCCTAAATTTAATTTCTGTCAGGCTGCTTTCTAGTTTTCTCAGGGATTCCTATAAAAAAAGTTCTATTCTAGGTAATATTTTTTCAATATTGTTTCAATATTGTTTTCAATATTTTTTCAATATTGTTTAACACTGGGTTATTGAATTCAATTATTTTTGATTCTGCCCTTTAGCTACCACCAAATTGTTGTGATAATTGCTGCTTTTATTACATAGTTTCAGGTCTGGAAGTATTATTTCTTTTTTATTCCTAACTTTTTCATTGTTTTCCTTGATGGTCCAGATTTTTAGTTCCTCAACATGGAATTTGCTATTTTTTTGTCTAGCTTTGTTAAATGTCCCTTTAGTAGTTTGACTGGAATAGCACTAAATTTGTTAGTTAACTTCAGTAATTTTTGTAATTTTAACATGGCCCAGCCAAGAGTCACGAGTAAGCCTCCAGTTATTTAAGTTGTTCATTATTTCTTCAAAGAACACTTTGTAACTGTATCTCTAAAGGTACTAAGTATGCTTGGAGAGATTGCTCCCAAATGACTGAACAAATTCCATTCGATAATGTTTAATAAATAATGCTTCAGCATTCTTAAGAGCTGGAAATAATAATAAACAAGGTATATTGTTATTACTTGTCACTTTCTGTTAACAAAGTGAATGGTCTGGATTTTTTTTTATATACTACACAAATTAACTATTCAGTTACTATATATATGTATATATATTATATATATACATACATATACAGCTTCAATTTAATATATGTGGCTTCTCAGTTCAGTTTATTCTAAGTATATTTTGTTTGCATCCAAAATTATTTCATGTGGTGGATGATCTTCTATGTTAAAAGTC